CCGGGGGGCGGCAGGTAGGTGGGCTCCCGCGGGGAGGCTCGGCGGCGGGCGGGGTCCCGCTCACCGAAGTCCGCGCCCGTCCCGAGGGGGCGTTGGGCGCAGGTGGCTCCGCGCGGCCCGCGGCCTGGGAAGGGGGCGGCGGCCCGTCAGGCGCACGGTGCTGGGGACCCAGGCCCCGGGCGGGTACCCGCGGGCAGCGGGACAGCGGCCGCCAGCCCAGCCGGTTCCGTAGGCTGCTCGTTCGGCGGGAAGGTCTATGCCTTGGACGAGACGTGGCACCCGGACCTGGGGGAGCCCTTCGGGGTCATGCGCTGCGTGCTGTGTGCCTGCGAGGCGGTGAGTGGACCCCGCGGCCGAGGCCGGGTCCCTCGGGTGTCGGGAGCGCTGGGGTCCAGGGACGTTGGAGGGCTCCCGGAGCTACGCAGGAGAAAGAAGCGAGTCCTCAGACGAGGACGTAGCAGGGAGTGGGGGTGCTTTGCCCGCAGAGGAGGGGATGGGAGCGCCCCTTCAAGTCTCAGGTGCTCATGCTTTGATGGCCCACTATGTGCCAGGCTCTGTGCCAACCCCGTTACGCGTCTCTCAGTGCCCACAACTACCCTGCTCAAAACAAACTTGCCGTCCTGTCAGTTGGTGCCGACTCCTGGCGACCCTATGGGACTGGGCAGAGCTGCCCCGTGCCTTTCCGAGACTGGACTCTTTAGGGCAGTAGAAAGCCTTGTCTTTCTCCCGCACCACCCTGCTAGGTGGACATATTATTGCCCCCATTTCCCAGATAGGGACCCTAAGGCCCGGAGAGGTTAAGTAATGCAGGTTCCACGTGGCAGAGCTGCCCAACCCAGCACCACAACCCTGCCTTGGTTCGAGATCTGCCCCCATCGCCCCCCGGGTCTCACCTGTAGGCAATTTGTACTCAGTCCTTTTCTTCATGTCTTCTCGGGAGCAGTCGCAGTGGGGTCGCCGAGTGAGGGGCCCGGGCAGGGTTAGTTGCAAGAACATCAAACCCGAGTGCCCAGCCCTGACCTGCAGGCATCCGCGCCAGCTGCCGGGACACTGCTGCCAGACCTGCCTGCAGGGTAAGGCCCGCTCTGCTTCGGGGGAAGGGGGCAGGCACACGCGGTCCCCAGCCCGGACCCAGGCCCGCGCGCGCAGATCGGGGCGGCCACCCGGCCCTCCCCATGGCCAGCTGAAGCCCGGGCCCTCCACCCC